CAGTGTCTTTCTCCTCTGCTCAACAAGAAATCCTTTGTCTCTCCCTCTTCCTAATTTATCCCTTCAGTTATCTATCTGTCTGCGCTTGCTCCTCTTTTGAGCTATACCTTATTTCCTTTTCTCTTCACGAAGAGTCGACTGAGACCTGCTGATCAGCTCCACAGTTCTGTTCACTTTGAACAGAACTTGAAAGATTGACTCATATAATTTTACCTTGTCTTGATTTGAATTCCGGTTAGCTTAGTATTTCATTGTTTTTACCCCCAACCAATGGGGATGCATGACATATTGTTCAAAATGTATTTGTATATGTGACTTGCTGGCATAGACTGTTAAGAATAGCTAATTATTCACTTTTAATGTTAGATTAGTCTTTGTTAGACTATTGATCTGCAATGGCATTGTCAGTAGTAGGTTTCTGATTTATGTAGTGACTCCTGAGCTGAAACTGGCAGTGCACATGGAAGAATGCATACATGGGGTGGACTTCAGCTGGCTAACTGCATGTGCATTTAAATATTCCACTCGTCATCGTATGCTATAATGGTAATTTTGCAAAGATCCACAGCTAGAAACATTTTCTTCTTTCGTTGTCTTAAGATGTCAACTAGCCTGTTCTTTAAAGGAATTCAGTCTTGGGTCCTGGCTTCAAAAATGTACAATTTCTTGGGGCTAACCTTAGATTTAACTTGGTTTGTCTCCGGACATACAAAGTGGGGTGCACTGTGGAGTCAGTTCTCTCCATCTATGCAGGGGATAGAATAGTTATGTTAACTGACTTCCATCTCTAACTCAGACGTAATGATAGGACTTGTTGATAGTATGGTGGGGGAGAAGAGGGATGAAGGAGAACACAAAGTATCTTTGAGCTTCTTACATTGACTTTTGGTGGGGTAAGGAGACAAATCAAGGGCCCGGGGGATTGAGTGGCTCTTGCTTGGTAGCATAACACACAGGGGTGCACCAGTAGAGATTTTTGGGGCCAACACTGATAGCTGATATTTAAGGAGACATATCAGCCGATACTCATCCAATTTCCAATACAGCTGCCTCCAGCTGTAGCTCGTAAGTTCGGTGAGGAGGGAGGGAAGGGGGGGAGGGCAGATCAATGCCCCCTGCGGTGATGGAGAGGGCAGGTGCTGCCTGGGGTGGGAGAATGGGAACAGGGCCACAGCTTGTGGGTGGTTAGGTGGCTCCTGCTACTGCTTGCACCCAGGGAGGGGTGCTGGGAGAAATGCACCCTATTTTTTTGCTGCCAGCCTCCTGGCACAGCCCTAGCTTTTCGCAGCATGTGGGTGGAAACAGGGCAGTGCTGGGAGCAGAGTGGCTGCAAAATTGGGGGTGGATGCAGCATCCTCCCAGCACTGCCAGTGCCTGCTCTGAGCCCAGCCCCCACTGAGAAGAGCCACCATCCCACTTCGTGCAGATCTGGGGGGCACACACCGCCCCCTCCCCACCCATGCCCTCCCAGGGTGCAAACAGCGAAGGAAGCAGTCTTCCCCCACCTACAAGCTGCAGTTCTGCCCCCTACCCCCCCC